AATAGAACATATTTTAAAACTTTTCATCTCTTTGTTATATAAAAATTAGCTTTAATTTATTTACTACATAAAATATTTATTTTATAATTTTGAAAAATTAAATCAAATTTTATTTATTTTTCTTCATGGAAATAGAAAATTGATTATACTTACTTATAATCTATAGTCATAATAAATATTGTTTACCAAATATTCCTCTAAATTAGAAAAATCAATCTCTTAATATATAATTCTTTACCATATACCACGTATTTTTTATGTTGAACAAATTTATAAATTTGTAATCTCTTTTGTTATAAAAAGTAACCTACCTTCATTTTTCTACATAAAATATTTGTGTTAGAATCTTGATGATGAATTAATTGTGAAAAGTTACCATTAATTTTAAAGCTTCATTATTTTTTGTATTCATTATTTGATAATTAATAAAAAAATATTATTATTTCCTTGTAGGGTGATCTCAGGAATGCACTAGATCTCCTTTTAAAAAATTTAAGTTCTTATTTAATTTTTTAAGCTTTTAACATTTTAAGAAAAATAATAACTATTTAATTAATATCATTTGATGAAGATCTAAGAAAATTTATTTAAAGAACAACTTCCTGAAGTCTGGCCAAATTAGGTGACCAAAGTTTTATGAAAAATTACTTTATTTAGTCAATTAGAATTTCAAAATATATATTTGGGGATGTAGTGACGTATCTATCAGATAAACAATCAGATAAAATATTTATATCCAGTAGTTAATGTTTATAATATTTTAATAAAATAAATATTTTGACAAATTGTGAGCTATATATAATACTGTCATTAGTCTAATGGTAGTCAAAATTTGTATTACTTGTATTCCAAAGAGATGTTAGACGAGATACAACAACATGACATATTTATATTATAATTACAAATATTATATAACTAATTCAACTAAATTCATCATCTTTATATGTTAAGAATATATTGTTTTAATGTATACAATAATTTATTTTTCTTGTATATATTTTATACTGATTGACACAAAATACACGTGCAACGCACGTATACTAAAGCTAGTGCATATAAATAATGGCGGAGCTACATGTATTCAAGGGATGTTAATTGATACCCTTTCGTCAAAAAAGTATATACACACTGTATATTAATTTTCCTTAACTTTTTCATGAGTTTACTTCTTTATATTTTATCATTCTTAGTTAAAATTCTAGCTATGTTACTGCATATAGTGTATTTGTTGAGCCTATTTCTTTGAGGAAAAGAAAATAGTGGAATAATAAAGCAAAGTTATAGAACAAAGGGGTGAAAATAGAATAAGAAGAAGCAAGAGGGACTTTATGGTAAAATATATATTGGTCAAAATGGGGCAAAGTTTTTCAAAAGGAAGTTAAACAGACAAATACGCGTGAGTGGTGGAAACAAAAGAAGCCTTTGTTGTGAAGGGACTTGCAAAAAGTAACAAAAGCCTGCAAATAATTCATCAAATATACTTCATTAAATTCCTATTCCTTTTTTTTCTTTTTGCTTTTTCACATTTATTCTTTTTCTTTTAAATCTTTTAAATAAAACAACAAACTGACAGAAGCAAGCTACAAACCTGAAAGAATTTGCAGGACAAGGTCAGATCCACAGTTTACTTTACTCATTTTTATAGCTAAAAAAAAGCTGAGTCACTGACTTTTCTTACTCTAAACAAGAAAAAAAAATATTCCAAAAAAAACTAATTATTTTGCACTTTAAGAATCTAAAACACTTCCACATTAATATAATTTAAACCCCAGATCTCTATAATAACAACCCATTCAGCTCCTATTTTAGTTTTAAGTAATGATTTCAGTACAGTACTATTGGTTTTCAAGAATTCTTGAATCCAACAAATTTGCTGTCATTTTTTGGCTTTCCCTAAAGTATGAAAAAAATAGGAGGAATCTGCAGATTTTTTGGTGATTTTCTGACAAGTGTTAGTAAAATAGCTAGGTTGCCTAATGCTTATATTCATGGGTAAAGCCAGAATTTAAAATTAATGAATTTAAAAATTTAAATTTATTTACTTTATTGAGTTCTAAATTAATAATTTATACATATTTAATAAATTTTTAAAAATAAAAATAGGATTCAAACCAAAATTATTGAATTCGATCGAACTCGTAAGTCTAGCTCCGCATATTGCACTGAACCAATTAGAAGTCATTAACTTTTTTTAGAGAGGGTAGCAAATGATTTTGGTGGAAGTATGTGGTGTTAATCTGATAAAAACAAAAAAAAAAAGATTAAAGATGAAAGGATTTGGACAAAATATAGTGGATATTTGTTTAGATCCAACCTGTTCTTTTCCTCTAACGCAATCATTAGTTGTATTCAACCTAGGTGATTTTATTCACTAAGTATTTGATTGTACCTACTAGTAATACTTTTGAAGGTAAAAAAAATGTAATTTATCAATAGTTTTTAGGTCTAAAAGAAGACTTAACATCAAATCAATCAGCTTTTAGTTGATGACATATATCAATTGTTTTTTTTTATTAAAAAAATTGATTAACATGATCAAAGTGAAAAGGATCCTTCTATTGTGTGACATTGATAGTCGAAAAATATATATTTTTAGTCGTTTCAGAAAATAATAAACGATAAAATATATATATGTATTTTATATACATATTTTATATATTTTTTGGTTAGTAAATGCAATTAATTTCGGCCAACCATCCGACTTTATATTTCGTCCTTGATTGTTTGGCGTAAGTTTTTAAGGTGCAATTACATATTATACCTTATGCAAACTTGCGATCCATCAATAAATTATTACTCAATTCTTTAAAAAAAAAAAAACTACAACTTACTTCAAGATGTAATTTTTTTTTTTGTTGAGAAAAGTGGGACTATAAAAATTATCAGAAGCTCAAAGTTATGCATGCATATGTGATTTAATTTTGAACCTTAAGTGGAATTATTAACATTCATATAACTCATTCCATAATCCGAGTTTTTTTTTCCTTTTGGGGAAAAGCAGCCAAGTGGATTGACTCCAAATTCCAAATACACAGTCAAACAATCAAACAACTACAATATTAGTATACTCATTAAGGGACAATACCCATGTATAGAAACAATAAAAATGGGCTAAAATGGCGCTCTCTATTAAATAGTACTAAAATGGAGGATAATTAAGAAGAGAAAAGAAGCAAAAGAAGAAATTCCAAATAATAAAGGGGATAATTTAATTATATACACTGAATGTGTAATGAATTATTACATTATTAATAAAATTAATTGATTATGATAAATCATTATTTTATTTTTCAAAAAATTATACCATACTTATTATTACAAATAATTACTTACCCGTATAAAATATATGTATTGTGCGCGTACAAAATTTAAACTCTAATCAAAATTGAAAATTTGAAAGAGGACAAATGGGGTATGGTTTGAACGAAGTGAATTTCTTGCAATACTTAATAGACAATACTTTATCTATTTCAATGTAAGTGATATATTTTACTTATTGAGAGTCAATTTGATTAATTTTAGAGCTAAATTGGATTAATTTAACTAAATATTTTAAAATTAAAATTTAAATATTCAAAAACTATAGGAGTATGAAAAGTAAGTTAAGTTGTAATTTTTTTAATGTTAATATGATAAAAAAGATTTAACAATATTATTCAAACTTTATATAATTTGGCTTTCGTTAAGCGAAATGTGTCATCTAAGGCCCAGTTTACTCATATATTTTTTCTTTTCTTTTTTTTTTTCATTTTTTTTTTCAAAAATGTGTTTGTCCATGAAATTTATAATTTTTTTGAAAATAAGTTTTTCAAAAATTTCAAAAAAACTTTTTTCTCCACTCACAAAACTACAATTTTTGTCCAAGTAAAATGCATGACTAAACATAATTTCAAATTTCATAGTTTATTTTTTAAGTTAACTTCAAATACTACTTGTAAAAAAAAATTATATAGTAGTAATTTATACTCCTGTCCTAAACGAAAGAAGTAAAGTAGTAATCAGAAAGTCAAAAATCAAACAGTCCCTCAAAGTCGAAAAAATAGTACTCTTATATTAACAACATTTGTACAGGCATCTGATGTGTGAAAATGATAGTAGTATTAATGTTGGAGAAAATACAAATTTCTTATTTAAATATATATATATTTTTTTACCACCGCCAGTTTCAGAATATGTTGCTCTGGTCAAAAAAACCAATCTCCAGTTTACACACAGTATTCCTTGTTGGGTGATAAAGTTCATCCCTTTCTCTCTCTCACACACACTCTTTCTCTCTCTAGGTCTATAGGCTGCTCTCATCATCTGTCAATTCTATGTTCTTTTTCTTGTGGGATGATTCTCTTGCTTTCCTTTACTATTTACCAGGAGTAACTGAAGAAGAAAAAACTAAGAAATTATCGGTAAATAATTACTGGCATTAGACGTTTAGTATTTTCTCTACTTTATTTTTTGTGATTTAGTCCGAAGCAAAAGAGTTAAGCTGACTAATTGCATGAATTTGGACATAAAACTTTTAATATTTTTAAACTTAAATTTACATATTTAAAAACTACATCAATAGTACTAGAGACATAATAGATAACAATTTAAATTATTTAAAATATACTCCTATTTGCAAAAAATGGTTAAAAAAAACTTTCTTTGACACTCCAAATAATAAATATATCACATACAGTGGAATGATGAGAGTAATAAATTAAGTTAATTAATTAATTAGGATTTAATGGTATCAGTGTATGAGAAGACATGTACAACATATATTCATTGAATTATTTAAACACCAAATATGGACAAATTTTTACTACTAACCCCAATCCACAGTTAAAATAAAGTACATACAGTAAATATAAAAAAAGAAAGTGAGATTTTTCCCCAATAAAAGTCAATGGTGAGGAAGAAAATATGACTAGGAATAGTAAAAAATGGAGTGACAAACAAGAAAAATAATTAAAAAGTTGGAGAGAGAGAGAGAGGAAGAGTGTAATATAATAATAAGAGAGATAAAAGGGAAGTGTGGAAAAAACAACTACAAGTGTGGTGTGTGTGTGTGTGTTTTGTAAGTTTGCAAAGCAATGTCACAAGATTCTGAGGAGATAAAGACCATTGGAGAACACTGGAAATGGTCTGAAATGCAAGGCCTAGAACTTGTTGTCTCTGAACACAATAATAACAACTCTATTAAAGCCAACCATCAAATTCAAGAAACCACAACACAACAACAACAACAACAACAACAAGAAAGAGAAAAACAAGAAATGGAGGTTTCTGAAGGGAAAAAAGAAGGGAATGAAAAGCCAAGTACTCAACCACAAGCAGTTGGTTTTGGGGAGTTATTCAGATTTGCTGATGGTTTAGACTATGTACTAATGTCAATTGGTTCACTTGGTGCTTTTGTACATGGCTGTTCTTTACCTTTGTTCCTTAGATTCTTTGCTGATCTTGTTAATTCATTTGGCTCTTATGCTAATGATGTTGATAAGATGACTCAAGAAGTTTTAAAGGTAAACCAACCTCAAATTCACTTATAAAAAACAATTAAACAAAGCTAATTCCTTTTTTCTTCCCTTTCTTCTTGATAATGTTTTGGTTTTCTTTACTTTGCAGTATGCATTTTACTTTTTAGTTGTGGGTGCTGCTATATGGGCATCTTCTTGGGCAGGTAAAAAAAATTCATAAAAATTGAATCTTTATTATAAAGATTGAATCTTTATTATAAAGATTGAATTTTTATTGTAAAAATTGAATCTTTTTTGGTTCAAGAATTGGTTTTTAGGATTCTTGATTGTAATGGCTTTGCAGAGATATCATGTTGGATGTGGACTGGAGAGAGACAAACAACAAAGATGAGGATTAAATATTTGGAAGCTGCTTTGAACCAAGATATTCAATACTTTGATACTGAAGTTAGAACTTCTGATGTTGTCTTTGCAATTAACACTGATGCTGTTATGGTCCAAGATGCCATTAGTGAGAAGGTGAACATACTATAAAAATTGATTCTTTTTCATTTTTTGGATAATGGGTGTGGAGTTAGGATCTGATTTTTTTTTCGTTTTTTTTGTGCAGTTGGGTAATTTCATTCATTATATGGCTACATTTGTATCTGGATTTGTGGTAGGATTTACAGCAGTGTGGCAACTAGCTCTTGTTACTCTTGCTGTAGTTCCTCTAATTGCTGTAATTGGTGCTATTCACACTATTACATTAGCTAAGCTCTCTGGAAAGAGTCAAGAAGCACTTTCAAAGGCAGGGAACATTGTTGAACAGGTAAAAAGATAAATGGTAGTACAAATTATGTGAAATTAAGCTCGGTTAAGAATGGGAGCCTTGGCGTAGCTGTTAAAGTTGCTGCCATGTGACCGGGAGGTCACGGGTTCAAGTCGTGGAAACGGTCTCTTGCAGAAATGCAGAATAAGACTGCGTAGGTTAAGGCTGCGTATAATAGACCCTTGTGGTCCGGCCTTTTCCCTGACCTCGCGCATAGCGGGAGCTTAGTGCATCGGACTGTTTTTTTTTTAAAGCTCAGTTAAGATAATATATCCTCTGCATTTTTCTATTGGTTTACTGAAGTGTAGCAAAATTGCAGACAGTAGTTCAAATTAGGACAGTACTGGCATTTGTTGGTGAGTCAAAAGCAATGCAAGCATACTCAGCAGCACTTAAAGTGTCTCAAAAGATTGGTTATAAGAGTGGATTCTCAAAAGGATTAGGACTTGGGGCTACATATTTCACTGTTTTCTGTTGCTATGCTCTTCTTCTATGGTACGGCGGCTATTTGGTTAGGCATCATTATACCAATGGTGGACTTGCCATTGCAACAATGTTTGCTGTTATGATAGGTGGACTGTAAGTACTTAGCATTGTACAATAACGTGTCGAATTCGTTTACTTTTTTTTAAAAGAAGCTTAATTGCTTAAAGATTTTTACTTTATCGATAGGGCTTTGGGACAATCTGCTCCTAGTATGACTGCATTTGCAAAGGCCAGAGTTGCAGCATCCAAGATTTTCCGAATTATCGATCATAAACCGAGCGTCGACAGAAACACCAAAACGGGCTTGGAATTGGACTCCGTTAGTGGGCAACTAGAGCTTAAAGATGTTGATTTCTCCTACCCTTCAAGGCCAGAAATCAAGATTCTCGACAATTTCAACCTCATTGTTCCGGCCGGAAAGACCATTGCTTTAGTTGGAAGCAGTGGTTCTGGAAAAAGCACTGTGGTCTCCCTTATTGAAAGATTTTATGATCCCACCTCAGGTTAGCTCAACTCTGCACAATTACCTCACTATTGAACTCAATATCAGCAATGTGCCTTTATAAATTGGATAATTACATTTTTGGGCCGCCCTAAAAAATAATAGCCGGCAAATGTATATGTGTTGTGTATTAAGTATAAATATATATCTAGTATACATAAATATACATAGTATATACATAATCAGTGTATATGTGTTGTATATTTTGGCGAGCGCCCGTAATTAATTTCGGCTGATGGGCCAAAAATGAAAAAGTGCCTTTATACATTCACACATCATGTGATGGGCATCTTAATGAAATGTTTGGTAGTTGAAGTGAATTCCATGTGTTTATGTGGAGACATGTTTTGGAATGAGAATCTCAGCTAATAATTAGTTTGTATGCAGGACAACTTCTGCTTGATGGGAATGACATAAAGACACTGAAGTTGAAATGGCTGAGACAGCAAATTGGGCTTGTGAGCCAAGAACCAGCACTCTTTGCCACCAGCATCAAAGAAAACATATTATTAGGACGGCCGGATGCAACTCAAATTGAAATCGAAGAAGCTGCTAGAGTTGCCAATGCACATTCTTTCATAATCAAGCTTCCTGATGGTTTTGATACTCAGGTTAGTTAATTATTCCAAATCCTTAATTTTTTGGGAAATTTGCATTGTATAGCCGCCCTCCAAAATAATAGCCGGTAAATTTTATTGTTATTTTGTATATTAATATATAATGTACATATGTTATACATAATTAGTGTATAATTTTGTATATTTGGCTAGCGGTTGTAATTATATTCGCCTGACCGGCCAAATGTGTTAAAATTCTTGAACCAAAAAGAAATTTAGCTACTTTAGACTCAACTAATTATGTTGCATTAAAGATCTAGCAGATATATCATTAAATGTTTTAAATTTTCTTCTACATTCCATATGCTATTAAATGTGTGTGACATTTAATATTACTCATGTTGGGTCCCACCAGTTTGTGGAAGATGGATTGGATATAAGTTTGATGGTAGAGAATGCCTCAGAGTGAGCTCTAAAATAAGGTTGATGTTTTTTTCTTTTTGCTGTATTTTCCCTTAGTCAATGGGCATAAAAAGAAATCGTTTTTTTTCTTCATATAAAGGATGACTTTAGCCTTAGGCAAAGGCAAATTCGGTGGCTTTGTTGAATGGTCAAAGTTTATGTCTTACAAGGTACATTTTGATTGTAAATCATTTCACAAAGATGCTTTCATTAGTCTCACTTGTATTGGTTTTTGTGTCTAAATTGTTTTTGTTTGGTCAACAAACAAACCTTATATTTTTTTAGTGAAGTCAATGTTTGTAGGGGGACTGGTCATTCATTTAAGAAATAGGTAACATGGGTTTCAGTCAACAATGCATGTGCAGGAACAAGTTTTTATTTTATCTATGCATGTGAAAAACAAAAGACTTGTTGTAACCCTTTAGTAGTTGGAGAGATGACAAAAAACAAATTAGAAAAAACATGTAGGGTTATCGGTTGGATTATAAATTTATAATAAGCCTGATATCCAAAAAACAAATAAATATTTTTCTTGGAATTTATGGTTTTCACAGGATATAAGGGACACTTCTTTGGATAGGTAAAAAAAGTAAAAAAAAAAATAAAAAGTTGAATGGGAAGTTAGCAAAGGGACAAGTTGATAAAAGCTAGAGATAATTACCTATGTTGTGCGGACTCTCAAAAATACTGCCGCATCCGTAAGATACACTACTTTTGGAGGATCTGACACGTACTCACTAACATTTTTGGAGAGTCCGAGCAACATAGATAATTGCTGGACTGTTATAACAGTTCTATTTTATGAATAAATTTCATAATAGAATTTGGCCTTGATCTTTTTATAAGATGTTAATAATCAAGATCAAACTTTTATTTGTTAATTTGAGCGAAAAATGACACTTAGTTCTGCATTGCATATAGTATTGATTATTTTGGTGTTTCAAGTTAGACCAACAGAAACTCATGTGTAGCTGGACATTGCAGGTAGGGGAGAGAGGAGTACAATTATCAGGTGGACAGAAGCAGAGGATTGCAATAGCAAGGGCCATGCTTAAGAATCCAGCAATCCTTCTCTTAGATGAGGCGACTAGTGCTTTAGATTCTGAATCAGAAAAACTAGTGCAAGAGGCTCTAGACAGGTTCATGATTGGACGAACGACTCTCGTAATTGCTCATCGCCTGTCTACCATCCGAAAGGCTGATCTAGTGGCCGTACTACAACAAGGCAGTGTTTCTGAAATTGGATCGCATGATGAGCTTATGAGTAAAGGAGAGAATGGTATGTACGCTAAGCTCATCAAAATGCAAGAAACAGCTCATGAAACAGCTCTTAATAATGCCAGAAAGAGCAGTGCGAGGTATCTAATACACCTTATAACGCGGTCTTGACCTTTGTTGTCAACAAGAATTTAATGTTCTTCAACATTTTCTTTTTTGCAGGCCCTCGAGCGCAAGGAACTCCGTAAGCTCACCAATCATCACTAGAAACTCTTCCTACGGTCGATCACCATACTCCCGCCGGTTGTCTGACTTTTCTACATCGGACTTCAGCCTCTCCCTCGATGCTGCATATTCTAGTTACCGACATGAAAAGCTTGCATTCAAGGACCAAGCTAGTTCGTTCGGCCGGCTTGCAAAGATGAACTCTCCTGAGTGGACTTACGCTTTAGTTGGTTCCATCGGTTCTGTCATTTGTGGTTCACTTAGTGCTTTCTTTGCATATGTCCTGAGTGCTGTTCTTAGCGTGTATTACAATCCTGACCATGCTTACATGAGCAAACAAATTGCAAAATACTGTTACCTTTTGATTGGAGTTTCATCGGCTGCGCTCATTTTCAATACTCTACAGCATTTCTTCTGGGATGTAGTGGGGGAGAATTTGACAAAACGGGTGCGAGAGAAAATGCTGGACGCCGTGCTTAAAATGGAAATGGCATGGTTTGATCAGGAAGAGAATGACAGTTCAAGAATTGCAGCAAGGCTAGCTCTCGACGCCAACAATGTTAGGTCAGCCATTGGAGATAGAATCTCCGTCATTATGCAGAACTCGGCTCTCATGCTAGTTGCATGCACTGCAGGATTTGTACTGCAGTGGCGTCTCGCCCTTGTCCTCATTGCTGTCTTCCCTGTGGTTGTTGCGGCAACTGTTTTACAGGTGAGTTCACAGAAATTCAACTCAATTTGCATAGCATGTTAATTAATCAGTTAGCAAATTCTTCAGATAAAGACCAACAGTCTCCACTGTAGAACATGTATTTAGGTTATTATGGTTTACATTAGTTTTAGATTATATTTTCGTAGTGTGCTGAATAGTCTGTATTCTCCACCAGAAAATGTTCATGACGGGATTCTCGGGAGACCTAGAAGCTGCTCATGCCAAAGCAACACAACTTGCAGGGGAAGCTGTAGCTAACGTAAGAACAGTCGCTGCCTTCAATTCTGAAACAAAAATCGTCAACCTTTTCAACTCCAGCCTCCAAACTCCACTTAGGCGCTGCTTCTGGAAAGGACAGATTGCAGGAAGCGGTTATGGGATAGCTCAATTCTTGCTTTATGCTTCCTATGCCCTTGGCCTTTGGTATGCCTCGTGGCTTGTCAAGCACGGGATATCTGACTTCTCGAAGACTATCCGTGTTTTCATGGTCCTCATGGTTTCTGCTAACGGTGCAGCTGAAACGTTAACCTTAGCCCCCGACTTCATCAAAGGTGGCCGAGCAATGCGCTCAGTGTTCGACCTCCTTGACCGTAAAACAGAAGTTGAGCCTGATGATCCAGATGCCACCGCTGCCCCTGATCGTCTTCGCGGTGAAGTGGAATTTAAGCATGTAGACTTTTCATATCCCACTAGGCCCGATGTGTCAATATTCCGTGATTTAAATCTCCGTGCTCGAGCTGGAAAGACTCTTGCTCTCGTTGGACCAAGTGGGTGTGGAAAGAGCTCGGTCATTGCACTAATCGAGCGGTTTTATGAGCCATCATCCGGACGTGTCATGATTGATGGCAAAGATATTCGAAAGTACAACCTTAAGTCTTTGAGAAAACACATTGCCGTGGTGCCACAAGAACCTTGCCTCTTTGCTACCACCATCTACGAGAACATTGCTTATGGACATGAATCAGCAACTGAAGCTGAGATAATCGAAGCAGCAACCTTGGCAAACGCCCACAAGTTTGTATCTGCATTGCCTGATGGCTACAAAACATTTGTCGGAGAAAGGGGAGTTCAGTTGTCCGGTGGACAAAAGCAAAGAATTGCCATCGCTCGTGCTTTCCTAAGGAAAGCAGAGCTAATGTTGCTAGACGAAGCAACAAGTGCTCTCGATGCAGAGTCTGAAAAATGTGTACAAGAAGCACTGGATCGCGCCTGTGCAGGAAAGACGACCATTGTGGTTGCACATAGGCTATCCACAATCAGAAATGCACATGTAATCGCGGTGATAGATGACGGGAAAGTAGCAGAACAAGGTTCTCATTCTCATCTGTTGAAAAACTACGCGGACGGAATTTATGCACGTATGATACAACTACAAAGATTTACACATGGTGAAGCTGTGAATATGGCAACAGGCTCCACTTCTTCTGCACGTCCCAAGGAAGATCAAGATTGAGAAACTTGAAATTATGGCTAAAAGAAAATACCACTAGAAAAGGAGTATACCTCGTGTAACACCCTTATTATTTTTTGGATGCTAATTTCTTGTTCACTATTTCTAGTATAGTATAGTATAATATGTGCATTAATCTAAAATTTAAAATTTTCCTTCAACCTTCACTCATGGTCTCCCCTCATAATAGTTAGCTTCATTTCTTTTTATTAGTACAAATAAATTCATCTGATAGGTCACGGGTCGGGTTTGAGTTGTGGAATTAGACACTGAAACTTGCATTATGGTAGGTTGCCTACATCATACACTCTTTGGGTATGGTTTTTTCCTGAACCCTACATAAACACGGGATGCTTCGTCCATCGGCTACCCTCTAGATAAATTTAACTGATAGGTTATGCGTTCGAGCTGTGGAATCAGCCACCGAAACTTGCATTATGGTAGGTTGCATACATCATACTCTGTTGGGGTGTAGTACTTTCCTAAACTATGCGTAAACACGGGATGCTTCGTCCATCGAGCTGCCTTGTAGATAAATTCAACTGATAGGTCACGGGTTCGAGTCATGGAATCAGCCACCGAAATTTGTATTAGGATAGGTTGCCTAGATCATACTCGATTGATTTTGGCATTAGTACAATGTAGGGAAAAAAAAGTTTTTTTTTGGGGGGAGGTGACATTTTACTATCTTTGTGGGGACCTAGTGCCTAATGTTCATTATTTACTCCATAAAAGGGTCAAAAGATTGACACAATATAGGATTGATTTTAATGTCCTTTGGTTAGAAAGTTCTTGTACATCTATTTATATATGTCATTTGTTACGAGACAAATTCTTCATAATGTAGAAACAAGATCCATTGTTAGCGGTAACTTTGAAAAAACAAAGGACATATTTATGTCCCACTCCTATCAATTCAACTACCAAATCAACCTAATTGGACCCTACTTAGTACACTAATTAACCGTGAAATGCGTCGAATACAAACGTTAATTATGATAGCCTAGGGTACCATTTTGATGACAACCTTAATCAAGATTGTTAGATTTGTGTCACTTTTCAGACAATTGTGTGGATTGATAAGCCTTTGAGACTGTACAAAATGGGACCAAAAATGTTGGAATTTCCGACAAGATTATAAGTCTTAATACAAGCAAGATATGATTTGCAAATTTGGACCGTTTGATGTTGATGGTGTTTGGGACGGAGGCAGAAGCCGAACTACGTGTTCGGTCGAATACAGTAGCTTTCGCTCAAGAAAATTCATTAAATATGTATAAATATTAAATTTAGAACTCATTCGTTAGCACTTAAAGTTATCGTTCTAAAATCCAGAACCCATAAAGTTAAAATCTTGATTTCGCCGTTCTAATGTCTCCGGAGGGAGTGTCTATCAATACCTAAAAATGACAGTGATTTGTGAAGTGGAAGAAGGGGAAGGAAACGACATTATTGAATTAGGGAGGTTCACGTGGTTGAGTGGTTCCACATGAGAAAGAGAAAGCAACTAATTGATGAAGTTTATATATATAGCAAAAGAAACAAAACAAAATAATAATGGTACATGATATATATATTTGTCAAAACGTTGTTTGTGAGTATACATAATGGGGTTTCTGGTGGTGGGAAGTGCACGAGTGAAAAGTAGCAAAAATTGGGCATTAAAAGTTGACAAAGATAGTATATATAATGCTTTTCTTCATCATGATCGTAACGGCATTATTTTTTCTACATGGATAAGGGCAGTGGCAAAAACACGTTGTAGTAACGGGCATCATCTGCACTAGCGTGTTCGAACCGAACCGATAATCCGCATCAAACCGATTAAAAAACCGATTAGTTTTTATTTGATTTGGTTTAGTATTGAGTAAAAAAATTCAAACCAAATTGACATATAAATATATAATCTTTATATATACTTTTAAGATTTTATATAGAATTTTCTTTGAAAAATATCTAGAAATATTTGGCATCCTCTCATGGGATGTAACATTTAATAGAACTATGAAGTGCATTCATTTTTATTTATTTTAATTAATTGGTTGTATCACTTTCTTATCAAGTGTTACTGAAATACGTCAATCAACTCTTTGTTCTTTTATATTCATATGTCAAGATTTCTTATATCTTTTTCAAATTTGAAGTGGTATTTCGATAATTTAAAATTAAATAGAACATATCATTGTTTAGGTATCATATTAACTTTTATGTTTAATAATTAAATTCGATTAACCTTGAATTCGTACATCAACGAAAAATTATTGTTAGACGACTAAGAAAATAACTATCATTTGGTACTAAAACAAATTCTCTCATAAGAATATTTTAATAGATTATACATTTATTAATTTTTTTAATTTTTAGTAAACATATATTCACTTATCAAAACTTTATCTATAATTTTAATAAAGTAAGATTACAATAATATTCATGTAAAAAAAAAAAATCGAAAAATCCGAAAACCCGACAAAACCGAACCAATAGTTTGATATAGCTGATTTGGTTTGATTTTGTCACGACCCGAAATTTTCCACCGACGGGACCGTGATGGCGCCTAACATTTCACTTGCCAAGCAAGCCAACGTTAGAGAATCATTAAACCAATTCCTTATTTTCATTCATTAAGTAACAATAATTAACTAAAATAAAATATAATAAGTGCGGAATATCATAAAAATTGTATTAATTACTACCACCCGGATCTGGAGTCACAATTCACGAGCATTCTAGAATTTACTACAAGTAATAACCTGAAAGAAATACAACTGTCTGAATAAAAGAAACAATAGAACATAAATGATAGACGGGGACTTCAAGGTCTGTGGACGCCGACAGATCTACCTTGACTCTCCGGACAGCGGACCAATAGCAAAATCTCGATCAATTAGAGTCGGTATCAAAATCTGCACAAAAAGTGCAGAGTGCAGCATCAGTACAACCGACTCCATGTACTGGTAAGTGTCGAGCCTAACCTCGACGAAGTAGTGACGAGGCTAAGGCAAGGCACCTACAATCAACCTATACAATTTAACAGTGTATACGCAAATAACAGGAATGAAGAACTAAACAGGAAATGTCGAGAGGGAAAAACATACTGAGGGAAATACAAGATAAAGAACTACAACAGAATGATCAACGGAGCAATCAATATACTATAAATCAACATGAATAGTGAATACAGTAAGAAAAAATGCACGACATCACTCTTCGTGCTTTTACTCTCAATCTCACCATAAAATTAATAGAAACGACACAGCATCACCCTTCGTGCTTTTACTCTCATATCATGGCACAGCATCACCCTTCGTGCATTAACACTTACAATATGGCACGACATCACCCTTCGTGCATTAACACTCACAATATGGCACGACATCACCCTTCGTACATTAACACTCTCCCTTACCATAATGCAATACATAAATAACAACAGGGAGATAGAATAACAAGTACAAACCGTACTTCAACATTTGGTTCTATAATATCAATTTCAACTTGAAATGAAATCTCAATTATCACCAGAAAATCCGTAAACATAATAAGAACGATAATTTGGATAACACTAGTATAACACGTAGCAATTTGGCATCGGAATGAGACAATGTTAGAAAAATAAAGAAACATGGAAAAACAGGTAAATTGTCGTTGCATAGGTACTCGTCACCTCACATATACGCCGCTCACAAGAATTTCACTTAGCAATTAATCTAAGGTTCCTAATTTTCTCAAGTCAGGGTTAGACACAACACTTATTTCGTTTCGAAGGCCACTTAATCCTCAATCACAGCCTTTTCTTTGGAATTCACCTCCAAACCACTCATATCTATTCAAAAATGACTCAATAATATCAAATATTGCTAAAGGAATCAATTATATTGCATAAATTAAATTTCTCAAATTTTCCTCCAAAAAGT